ATATTTCTAGAAATTAAATGAATAATTGCCCTGGAAGGTATGGCTCAGTGGTCAAAGCATCGGTAGGGTTGCAGGTTCAATTCCCAGCCAGGGGTATTGTGCTGGGCTTTATATCTGGTGCTTTGGCCAGACGGGTCATGCTGTGCTGTCTGTTCCTAAAACACACAGATAGGAAGGTACTGACATCAGGCCAGGCCTTGAGATATGGTCTCATGGCCCCTTCCCAGCACGCAGGCCTTCTTTCTCAGAAGGCCCGGAAGCCTCATTCCAAATTTGGGAGACAAAGGACTGGAAAAAGTATAAATAAAGAGAGTTTCCTCCATATTGGGGGGCCCAGAATTTGAAAGACACATTTTCTCTGGGCCTCCACAAAATTTAATAATAAAATGTAACTCCTGTGGTCATCGCTGCAGTTCAGCCTCTGCTTCGGCAGGGTGCTGTAACTGTAGTCGCTGGCCATGGAAGTTGGTGCTGCAGTTCAGCTTCTGCTTCGCCAGGGTGCTGTGACTATAGTCAGCTGGCCAGCTTAATAAAGGCTCTTAAATTTAAATTCTGAGTCAGTGGTCTATCTCGCTGAGTAAACCCATAACATTTGGAAGCCCCCGCAAGATCCCCGGAAAGGGTGAGAGGGACCCCTTATTTAGGGCAGGAGGCTCTCCCCCGGCAGGGGTGAGAGGACCCCCTTATTTAAAGCAGGAGGCTCTCCCTTGTTTATCGCCAGGCACGCAGCGAGATACCCCACATCCCTGTGGGAAACGACTACCAAGGAGGCCTCCAGTCTCCGTTCCGGGTTCCAGGGAGGCGGAGGAGACTCCACCCAAAACTTTCAATTCGGAAACCGAGCCACCTGGACTCTCGAGAGAGGTAAGGAAGACCAGTCGTTAAACAGGAATTGGGACGGCCCATAGAAGGACCTATATGGAGGGCTGAATGCAGCGGTACTCATGGTCCTGACCCGCGGCCACCATGGTGGCCGGGGTCTCTGGTTTGTGCTGCTTTAGGCTGCACCGGGTTTGTCTGTCTGGTATTTGTTGTCTTTGTTCTTTGTTGTCTTTGTCTTTGTCAAAATGGGTCAGGGTCAGTCGTCTTCGTTGACCCCCTATCAGTTTGGCCCACTCCGAGTGAGTGGAAGGGGGGCTTGATCACCGCCCGGGAAGCCATAGAGCTCCCTTAGGCAATTAGTCAGGAATTGGTTGGATTATTTAAACTCTGAGTAAACATTTGGTAGAAGTCAAAAACTTGGACTGTCTGGTGTATGAATGTAAGTGTGACAGTCTCTATGAAGCGAAAGCTACTTTGTGCTGTCTGGCTGTACACATGAGAGTATTTGTTATCTCTTTCTGTTGTTTGTTTAAAGATAGGGCAAACCCTGCTTTAAGGGGAAGAAAGTAGAGAACTTTTAATTGCTTTGCTCTCATGTATAATTTTGCTGTGTTAGGTTAAAATTTTAGAAGTCTAGGGTTAATTTAAAGGTATAAGGGTGCAACCCAAAGAAGTTTAAACAAAGGCTTGTTAGGTTAAGATTAGTACATTTTCCCTTCAGAGTAGGTCTCTGTTACGGACAGCATCCGCTCTGACTGGAGGAGGAAGAGAGCTGAAAACTGCTCTGGAGTGGGTGTGAGATGGGGTAGTGGCGGTAGGATGCGCTAGATAGGTAGTAGGCTCTCAGCCTGCTGAGATGGAGGAGCCTTAGGCTCGGGGGACAAGGGGATGATCAGAGAGGTCAAAAGTGGTAAAGGAGGAGAAGGATTTGAGCCTCTGGGGCTTAAAAAAGGAAAAAATCTAGGAGGGAGAGCAGCTAAGGACAGAGTAAATGGTTAATGCAGAAAAGAGGGGGGCCGTCGCCAGGGAAAGCAGACCAAAACTTATGTTGATTTTTACTTATCTGAACTATGCTGGAAGCACGGTAAGTTTTTCTCTGCCCCGTTTTGTTCTCTTTAACCCTTCCAATACTAAATTAGACTGATACAGTATACTTGAAATTACATAGGGAAGGAAGCACCTGCTCTTAGTAATCTAAGAAATACTGGCTGTAAAGGATTGAAGTTTGTAAGAATAAGGAATTAGTGAGTAGAAGGTCTGAGGCATAGTTATGCATTTTTAAAGGACATAGAAAGAAGGTTTAAAGGCTAATTTGAAAGTCCGAAATTTATAAAGGTTGTGTATGTGATAAGAAGGAGAAGAGGAGAAACCAAGATGGCGGCATAGGTAAACACCGGAGATTGCTGCCTCGCACAACCACTTCAAAAATACAACTAAAAGACAGAACGGACATCACCCGGAACCACAGGAAGGCTGGCTGAGTGGAAATTCCACAACTAGAAGGAAAGAGAAAAGCATACAGAGACTCAGAGGCGGCGCAGCGCGGAAGTGAAATACGGGCTGGCGGCCGAGGGCGCGGTTGTCTGTTTCAATTGGGAAGGAGTCTCAGGCTGTGAGCTCCAGTTCTGGGCGAGTCTCTAGGGACCCAGACTCAAACGGGAGAAGCGGGACTGTTTGGCATCGGTCGGAACTCAAGGGCAGCTTTCTCTCTGAGGTTTGCAGCAGTTGCTGGGACACTGAGAGGCAGAGCCTCTGGGGACGGGACTGAGAGCAGCCATAACTGCTCGCTCCACCCGCCCTATTGATCCCCTGAGACCCGCCCAGCCCAAGCCCTGCACAGAGGTATTTGCGGGATAGCCTCAGGCAGAGGCTAGAATAGCACCACCCTAGAGATCCAGGACAGGAGTTCTCCCACTGCAGACACAGCTGATTCTCACAGCCAGTTGCCCTGGAGGTCAAATCCCTCCCAGTGTTACCTACAACAATCAAGGCTTAGCTACAACAAGACTGCGCACAAAGACCACAAGGGGGTGCACCAAGAGTGTCTACCTCAGGTAATTGGGACACTTAGCACAGAAAGCCACTCTATCGACACAGCGAAGCACAAAAAATGCCGAGACAAAGAAACAGGACACCAATGACAGAACTGGAGGAAAGCAGGCTGCTGGATATAGAATTCAAAAACACACTTTTGAGGTCTTTCAAGAGTCTTCTAGAGACCGCCGATAAACTTAATGAGATGTACAAGAATTCTAATGAGACTCTCGATGTTGTGATAAAGGACCAACTAGAAATTAAGCATACACTAACTGAAATAAAGAATATTATACAGACTACCAACAGCAGACCAGAGGAGCGCAAGAATCAAGTCAAAGATTTGAAATACGAAGAAGCAAAAAACACCCAACTGGAAAAGCAAAATGAAAAAAGAATCCGAAAATAAGAAGATAGTGTAAGGAGCCTCTGGGACAGCTTCAAGCGTACCAACATCCCAATTATAGGGGTGCCAGAAGATGAGAGAGAGCAGGATAATGAAAACCTATTTGAAGAAATAATGACAGAAAACTTCCCTTACCTGGTGAAAGAAATAGACTTACAAGTCCAGGAAGCGCAGAGAACCCCAAACAAAAGGAATCCAAAGAGGACCACACCAAGACACATCATAATTAAAATGCCAAGAGCAAAAGACAAAGAGAGAATCTTAAAAGCAGCAAGAGAAAGAAAATCAGTTACCTACAAGGGAGTACCCATACGACTGTCAGCTGATTTCTCAACAGAAACTTTGCAGGCCAGAAGAGAGTGGCAAGAAATATTCAACGTGATGAATGCCAAGAACCTACAACCAAGATTACTTTATCCAGCAAAGCTATCATTCAGAATTGAAGGTCAGATAAAGAGCTTCACAGATAAGAAAAAGCTAAAGGAGTTCATCACCACCAAACCAGTATTATATGAAATGCTGAAAGGTACCCTTTAAGAAGAGGAGGAAGAAGAAAAAGGTAAAGATACAAATTATGAACAACAAATACGCATCTATCAACAAGTGAATCTAAGAATCAAGTGAATAAATCATCTGATGAACAGAATGAACTGGTGATTATAATAGAATCAGGGACATAGAAAGGGAATGGACTGACTATTCTTGGGGGGGAAAGGGGTGTGGGAGATGCGGAAAGAGACTGGACAAAAATCGTGCACCTATGGATGAGGACAGTGGGTGGGGAGTGAGGGCGGAGGGTGGGGTGGGAACTGGGAGGAGGGGAGTTATGGGGGGGGGGGGAGAGGAACAAATGTCATAATCTGAACAATAAAGATTTAATTAAAAAAAAAATAGAAGAGAAATGTTGAAAGGAAATTAATCTAATGGTACAGGCCAGTAAGCCAGAAAGAGTAAATAATTTATATTCTGCCTCCTAAACAGAGGGTAAATAGTTATGCCACAGTACTTAGGGGGGAATGATAAAAGAAATCCAACAGTTACTGTTTTGTTATAACTCCATAAAAAGGACTGGCAAGGAAAATCAGAAGATCTTAAGGCAGGTCAGTGGCTTTTTCTCCTTATGTAATTCCTCCGAAATTTGGTAAATAAATCATGGCAATACATTTCTTTACATAAATTCAGTAAGACCGGTTTCCAATAGTGGTTTTATTGACCGAAAACTTTGACTGGAGTATCATGTTTTAGAAGCCCTGTCTGAGCTCTGAAGACTTAAAGCCAATAAGAGTGCCATGGACAAAGCCTGGTATCCTCCTTGGTAGCCTGAAAATAGCTGGTGCTGGAGCGTCAGGTCCATGCCCTACCATCACTGGCGGTTGGTCAGAGTAGAAGGGGAGGCGGAACCCCCATGCACTTTGGGCTGCGATGAGTAGGAGGGCTGCTGAGAAGGGCCTTAAAGCAAGGACAATGGCAGCAGATACTACAGGCAGGCAGCTGGATGGCTTGGCTTCCTGGCCCTATGGGGCACATTAAGATTCAATCATGAAATTCCAGCAAAGGTAGTTGGTTACCATTCTTGCTGTGTTTGTACAAACAATCAGGCCAAACTGAATACAGTAAATAAATTAGTATTTTAGTAAACAGAGGGATAATTTTAAGGAGAAAAACTCTATTTCAATAGAGGTTATTAAAACTAAAATGTTTTCTTTCCCTCCCACCAGACTATTTGTTACAGTTTGTCTTTGCCAGGTAACAAGCCCACCTCCTTCTGTGCCCAGGCCTCATCGTCCCTCTGACAGATAGCAAGGATTTCTTGGCTCTGAGAGAAACTTCTGACCCTCCTCAGCATGAAGCAGCTACAGAAGAAATCCAATGCCCATTTTCTCTGAACGAATTCAGAGCCAGGATCCTTAAGGTAATATAGCAGGCAGTTAGACAGACATGAGCAGAGCAAGGATGATGGGCCAATTGGCACTGCCAGATGTAACTATGTCTTTCCACCTCTATGTATATGTAAGACAAGGGGACTCCCCAGAAGCAAGAGGGAACTAGGCTGCAGATGAAGCAGTCCAGGAGGACTAAAACCAGTGGGGCCTTTACAGATTCTAGTGACTCTTCCAGATCCTGAACTACTCATCTCACCAGTTTACTCAAGTTCTTTCAGGCTTTACAGTCTACCCAGAAAGCAGACCAGAAGCAAGTCCGAGATGCTCTGCCTGTATCTAGTTCGTCCCTTCCAACCTGGTAACTCTGTTTGGGTAAAGAAATTTACCACACAAGGACTGACTCCTGCCTGGAAAGGACCACTCCCACCGCAGTCAAGGTCGACGGGATCCTGATGTGGCTTCATCACACCTGGCTTAAGACAGCTTAATAAAGGCTCTTAAATTTAAATTCTGAGTCAGTGGTCTATCTCGCTGAGTAAACCCATAACAGTATGTATGTACCGCAGTTGCAGGTTCAATTTCCTGCCCCAGTCAGGATGCAGTTGGGAGGCAACCAATCAATGTCTCTCACGCACAGCAATGTTTCTCTCTCTCTCTCTCTTCTCCCTCCCTCCCAACCTCCACCCCGCCCCCTGCCTTCCCTCCCTTTCACTCTCTCAAAAGAGCAATAGAAAGAATATCCTCAGGTGAGGATGGAAAAAAAAGAAATTCCATAAATAATCAACATAACCTTACATAAGCTTTTACCTTCATATCAGTTAAATTTAAGCAGTCTATGGAAGAAGGAATGATAAATACTATAGTCTGGTCTTAAGGATGAAGGAAGAAAGAAGAATCTTTGCTTAGGCTGTCGCAGAAGTTAGCGATCAAACATTTCATGTGACTAATGAGACCTAAAGGAAACAGAAAGCTTACAGTACAATTTTAGAAAGTGAACGGGAGAAAAAAAAGAAAGAACCAATTTTGATGCTGGGCATGGGAATGTGACATGACCAAACAGTGTTCAAGTTAGGAGGGCAGGTGTCAAGAACAGATGATGTGGATTTATTTCTAGATCTCTACTCCAAACCTTCCCTGCTCACCACACTGGATTTAGTTTATACACCACTCTTCCAAAAAGAAGTAAATCCACCCAGCCTGGGGACTGTGTTCTACCATTCCATCTTCTTCTCACAACAAACTAACTCTACCCCAAGGTCTTTGGACCCACTTCCTCTCACTTTTCCAACTCTATTCATTCTGTAACCCCAAGAAAGCTGCACGACTCTCTCCTTACGTACATATGACTGCTAGTATTTTAAATCATGCTTATTCTACGGATGCTCGCCTATCCACCAGATCCAAATCATTCAGAAGACTGCACACTCTAGTACTCTGCGAGACTATGGTAACATTGGTCCGCCTGGCCCCTTTGGCAAACTGCGGACCTGTAGCTGAAGGTCCACCACCCTCCCTGTCCCCACCTTGTGATCCACATCCTTCAAAAGCATGGCTCCTTCTCTTTCCCCCTTTCAGCCTTGATCAAGTTATTCATGTGCACAAATAATCTTGACTTCACTATTCTACAATTAAACCGCAGCTTACTCTCCACCTCCTCTGGCAAAGCCCCCTGGTTTAATTCAACCCTTTTAGTCATCACATACAGTTGGCCAGGAGGATAAGTTCTGGACAGTGAGAGGAATTTGGAATTCCAGTATCTTCCTAAAAATTCACATTCAAATTTAACTTACTGTTAGAGAATACTTACCATTATTATTTGAATTCTGATTATAAAAACTGAGAAGTAAACAATATGCTTCCATTTCTCTTGGGAAAAACAAACTTCTTGCAAACAGGTAAAATTCCTACCTGCTTTCTTTGCCATTCTGAATTACTGAATGTCTGTCAGCTGTAGTTCTTTCACTGCAAACGTAAGTATTTCGCCGTGTCATTCCGCCAGATGCTGTATTACTCTATTAAAAAAAGGGGGGGGGGGCATTTTTGTCTTAAACTATTTAATAATTAAGCATAGTATACTGAGAAAAAAAAAACACAAACCTCTCCTAATTAAACATGAATATCCAGTCTTTAACTAAATCTACACTAAAATATCAACAGTACTGGCAGAAGGATCAGAAAGGGGATAAAGGAAGCAACCTCTCTCCCTGGCAGAAAGGAGGAAGAGTGGCTATATAGAGTGACTGTGAAAAGCTGGCTGCCATAATCCATCAGTAATAACTCATGGATTACTTAAAGAGTGAGACAAAGATCCACTGTTTTAAAAGCTAATAGTTTCAAAATGAAAATTAAAAAGCAAGCATTATAAATATAAGGTAAATGTACAAATAAAAAGTAAAGATGTAAATATCAGAGTTAAAACTATAATACTAGCCTTGGCTGGGTACTCAGTTGGTTGGAGCGTTGTCCTGCACACCAAAAGGTTGTGAGTTCGATTTCCAGAACTCTTAAACTCAACCAATTTAGAAATGGGCAAAGGACTTGAATAGGTATTTCTCCAAAGAAGGCATATAGCCCTCGCAGGTTGGCTCAGTGGATAGAGCATTGGCCTGTGGACTGAAAGGTCCCAGGTTCGATTCTGGCCAAGGGCACATGCCGGGGTTGTGGGCTTGATCCCCAGTCGGGGGCGTGCAGGAGGCAGCCAGTCAATGATTCTCTCTCATCATTGATGTTTCCATATCTCTCTCCCTCTCCCTTCCTCTCTGAAATCAATAAGAAAAAAAAAAAAAAAGAAGGCATACAAATGTCCAACAAGCATATGAAAAGATGCCAAACAACTCTGGTCACTAAGTAAATGTAAATCAAAACTACAATGACTTCACACCCATTAGGCCAGCCGTAGTAAAAAATGGAAAAGACGTATTGGCAAGGCTGTGGAGAGCAGGAGCTCATATATGACAGGAATGCAAAATGGTGCAGCCACTGTGGCAAACAGCTGGGCCATGCCTCCAGAAGTCAAATACAGAATTACCTATGACCCAGCGAGTTCATTCCTAGGTTTAAACCCAAGAGAAATGAAAGCCAAGTCCACATAGAAATTTGTACATAATGTTTATAACAGTATTCATATTAACTAAAGTAGAAACAAGCAAACTGTCCATCAATGAAAAGCCGTGGCTTATTCAGAGTGAAAAACTGACAGAGGTCACAGCTTGAACTCTGAAAACATGATGCTGAGTGAGAGAAGCCAGGCCCAAAGGACGCATATGGTCTGGGTCCAATTACAGGAAATGTCCAGAACAGGCCACTCCACAGGGAGAGCAAGCTGCCAGGGGCGGGGGGAGGGGCGAGAGGAGAGTGGAAGGCACTGCAAAGCAGTGTTCCCTGCTGTGCTGGAGAGTCTCAGCAGGAGAGAGGTGGTGGCTGCACAACACTGTGAACATCTAGATGACACTGAACCCTACATTTTAAAATGCTTAACGATATGTCCCCTTAATTTCACATCAATTTTTTAAAAGCTAATACTTTCAAAGTAAAAAAGCAAAGAATGAAAGTTATAACTAAGATATTTAATCAGGTAAGAACAATTTTTAACAAAGATAAACACTGGCCAGGTGGCTCAGTCGGCTGGAGCGTCGTCTGGTGCACCAAAAGGTTGGAGGTTCGATTACTGTTCAGGGCACATACCCAGGTTGTGGGTTTGATTCCCGGTTGGGGCACGTATGGCAATCAACTGATCCATGTTCCTCTCTCACATCAATGTGTTTCTTTCTCTCTCTCTCTCTCTCACAAATAAAAATCCATCCTCAGGTGAGGGTTAAAAAGGGGAAAAATAATAGCTCTTAAAAGAAAAAAAAAGATAAAACAGGCACCTTTAATACAGCTCAGCAGACCATGCATAGTAAACTCCAAAGACTAATGGGTAATCAAATGCAGGTGACTGATAATGCTTGTATATATTTTCAAAAGGGCGGTGTGCAGACGAGTAGGGTGATAGGGACGGAGCATTATGAAGGCAAAGAACAGGATTCTTACCTTCCTCTGGAGAATGTAACCCAAAGTTGGAGGCTGAATTTAAACTGCAGGGCTAACGAATGACAGCCCCATCTTATGGAGTTAGGAAGCCAAAAGAAAAAAACCTTGTCACACAGGGTTTGCTGGGATAAAGCCCAAGATCAGAGGAGCAGCAGAACCCTCTGGGCTCCTTTATGAGCCCTTGTATCCCAGGAGGCACAGCCAAGCCTCCCCAGGGGAGCAGCAGAGGCGCACCTGGCCCTCACTCCAGGGTTAACCAGGGTGGAGGAGGGCTGTGCCATTGTTCAGTGTGTAGAGAAGAGCATGGCCACAGAATGTCCTTAAGATTGTTCATTCTCTACGACTTCTCCCGAAAATCACTTTACAAGGCTAAAAGCAATTCCTGCATCGGGTCAGACAGGACACATTTCATTTAATGGAAAAGTTTCTGAAGCTGAGAAGATTCCATTTCATTTAATAAATACTACTTGCTCTCTGGTGAGATTTCATCAAGGGCAGAGAATAAGAGATTCAGGTCAGCAGTGTAATTTTAGGCAATTACCTGACTTTTCTTCACTCTAAAATTTAATTAACACGTGAGAAAGCACCTAGTACAGGCCCTGGCACCCATAAGGATGCCGTCCGAGTTCTTTACTGGAATAAACTCTGAAATACAGTGCACACCCCATCCCTGGCCCATGTGCAGGCAGTCCGCGCCCCCGAGCGCCGTGTGTGGTCACCTGTCTGCTCGGCCTTCCTTTGGATTCCTCTCCTGTTAGACTATGAGGTCTTTCCACTTCTCCGCCTCTGACACAGCCTAAAGCTCAGCAAATGTTTATGGAAACACCAGAAAGTGCCTTTGACATAAAGGGTCTGCTGGCTCACCGAGAGGGAGCATTGCACCTGCCAATCCCCGGTGCTCTCGAGGTCAACAGCACTTACATTGGGGACAGTGGAGCTTGTCTTGCGTTCAGGAATGTCCGCCTTGTTGGGATTGCTCGCATTCCCAAGCATGGGACTGGCTGGAGCCATTCCCTTGCCTCCGCCTGCACCGCCGCCTGCCCTCCTGGAGGGAGCGCCGTCTGCTTTGAGGTCACCATCTGCAGTGCTGGTCTGACTCCTTTTTGGATATGCCACAACGGAAGGGATGGCTGGTCCAGCTGCAATAAAAAAGAGTTCACTCTTAAATGTCAGACCAGGTTCCAAACGCTAAGACCCTCAAATAGCAGACACATGGGCAGTTTACTGACAGTATCAGGACAATGTGCTGCGTCAGCCCAAATCATGGCACTAGCAAAAAGAAATGGAAGATGAGTAAGGGATCATCACTTTGGTACAAAACCAAAGCTGTCCACACCTAGAACGCTCTGTGCAGTTCTAAGTGCCAGCTCTCAAGTTGGAAAAATGGAGGTGGACAATGTCCAGAGAAGGGAAATGAACTGAACAAGAGATAAATGAATGTTCCATATGATGATGTATTTTTAAAAGTTAGGACCAGGCCAACATAGATAGATTTGGTTCCTGAATACTAGAATACTGGATGTAAAGGAATTACCTGCAACATAAACATTTAGTTACAGGCAAATAAACACACACACACACACTTCAGTCTCTGCATTCCAACACCTGCGATTGCCTTGAGGGCGAAACTATCAAGTTTGGTGAGCATACCCTTGAGGTTCCTAAGTCTCATAAAGGATTCACTTCTATGGTGAAAATTTTAAGAGCGAGGGCATTTAGCCCGGCCAGCGTGGCTCAGTGGTTGAGTGTCGACTATGAACCAGGAAGTCACAGTTTGATTCCTGGTCAGGGCTCATGCCCAGGTTGCCAGCTTGATCCCCAGTGTGGGGGTGTGCAGGAGCCAGCCGATCAACAATTCTCTCTCATTATTGATGTTTCTCTCTCTCTCTCCCTCTCCCTTCCTCTCTGAAATAAAAAAAAATTATTTTTTTAAAGAAGAGCGTGTTTAGACTCAATAACAGCTAGTGTGGCTAAGAATGACACAGGTCAAAACTTTAAAACAGCCCTAGCTGGTTTGGCTCAGTGGATGGACCGTCGGCCTGCGGACTGAAGGGTCCTGGGTTCCATTCCGGTCAGGGCACATGCCTGGGTTGCGAGCTCATTCCCCAGTGGGGGGCGTGCAGGTGACAGCCGAACGATGATTCTCTCTCATCATTGATGTTTCTATCTCTCTCTCCCTCTCCCTTCCTCTCTGAAATTAATGTGGCTGTGTAAATTTAATTATTTAACAAACATGAAAATAAGTTCCCCAGTTTAAGAGCTCAACACCCACATGTGGCTAGTGGCTACTCTACTGGATAGCAAAGACAGAACAGTCCAGCACTCCGGAAAATTAAGCTAGACAGCAGAGAGGGGGAGAGAATGAACAGAGAGCTAGAGACTGCAGCAGGGCTCCCAGAGGGGCAAGTTGTAAGGTTTCCGCCCAGGTAGGCCTTATCCATCAGAAGTCATGGAATGGCCGTGGCCGGTTTGGCTAAGTGTATAGAGCATCCACCCTTGGACTGAAAGGTCCTGGGTTCGATTCCATCAAGGGCACATACATTAGTTGTAGGCTCAATCTCCAGCCCCATGTCGGGGCATTTGCGGGAGCGAACCAACTGATGTGTCTCTCACATCGATGTTTTTTTCTCTCTCTGTCTCCCTTGCTCCCTTCCACTCTCTAAAAATCAATAGGAAGCCCCAGCTAGTTTGGCTCCGTGGATAAAGCACCAGCCTGCGGACTGAAGGGTCCCAGGTTCGTTTCCAGACAAGGGCACATGACAGGTTTCGGGCTCAATCCCTGGTAGGGGGCGTGCAGGAGGCAGCCAATCAATGATTCTCTCTCAACATTGATGTTTCTAGCTCTCTCTCTCTTTTCCCCACTTCCTCTCTGAAGTCAATAAAAACATATTTAAAAAAAAAAAAAAAAAAAAGCCATGGAATGTACCAGGGAGAATGTACCATGTCAGCACCTGGCGGACGGCAGACATCAAGCCCAATCCAGCCCCAGGAGTCCTGCACAATGTGAGGGGCCCCTGTGTAAGGGAGACGGACAGGGGACACACTGGATGGTCTCCGCTTACCATGGTCACTGTACCGCCTCTGCTTCTGGCTTGAGGAAACACTTCGCTGCACTTTGTGGTGAGGAGACTGGCCAGTGCTGTTGTTGAGGTCACTGCTCGGCCGAACCTTAGCAAGTGAGAGATTGCTGCTAGAACTGGAGTCACTAGCATCGAGCTAAGAGAAAATGAGAAAAACAGAGCAAACCACACACGAATCCAGATGGTTGATTAGGAAAGTAAACTCATCACACACAAACCTCTCATAGACAGCTCATTGAGAGAAGCATCAAAAGTACAAAGATGAGAGCCCTCATCTCAGGCCACAGTGTAGTTTTGGCTGCTGGAAAAACTCACAAAAGGATAGGAGGTATTTATCCGCTCTCCAGGCTTTTTGAAATAACTTAAAATGCTCTAGTCACTTCATCTGATACTTTACATCACTTCTAAACTACGAATAGCTATAGGTTAGCTTATGAAAGCCAAGTTTGTGACAATATCACCATTAAGGTGATTATTATTATTAACACCACAAACAGCCTTTATTGGTTGCAATGGGAAGTGGAAAGGGGGATATGACAGCTCTGGCTCCTGGGGCGGCTGCACAGACTCTGTGGCTGCCCTCTGAAAGTAAGGTTATTGTCTTAAAGTTAAAACAGTGGCTCATATACATTAGAAGAATTAGATTTATTGCAGGTAAACTAAAAATAAATGCTATACCAAGTGTTTTAGATATTAAAAAAATAAAAACTAAGGAAACACTTTACATAAACTGATAATTTACATAAAGGATATTTTAGTTTTTTTCTGATTACTCTTACCTCTGAAGATTTTCTCCCCAACAACAAATATGTAGCTGTGATTTCATCATATTTCATTTTACTAAGAGATTCTTGAATTTCTTCTTGTGAATATCCCATTCCTACCATAATATCTAAAAAAAAAGGCATAATATAGTTATGCGTTTTGTTGGGTAAAAAAATCATTGTGTTATTAAGGTAAAATAATTTCCATTATTTGATCCAAAAGACCACACATTTAACACAAATGGGCAGTTGGCTTATTTCTGAGTTACTGAGCGCTATTATAGGGACAACAGAAAACTTCTTAAACATGAAAAAGCAGCCGAAACCGGTTTGGCTCAGTAGATAGAGCATCGGCCTGCGGACTGAAGGGTCCCAGGTTCGATTCCGGTCAAGGGCATGTACCTGGGTTGCGGGCACATCCCCAGTAGGAGATGTGCAGGAGGCAGCTGATCGATGTTTCTCTCTCATCGATGTTTCTGACTCTCTATCTCTCTCCCTTCCTCTCCGTAAAAAAATCAATAAAATATATTAAAAAAAAAAAAAAACATGAAAAAGCAGATAAGCTGAGTCACATAACTTAACTGCCCGTTATTTTCATTGCAGGCATGTGAGTCAAAGCAGCAATGTTACTGGCACACACCACACAAAGCACAGAGCAAGTACCTATTCTTTTCTGGTCTGAGATGTCGAGTTCTGGTTCAACAAATGGTTTCAGTTCGTCCTCCTCGTGCCCTGCATTGATCCATCTGTCCTTCATGATTTGCTGAAAGGTGAACTGCTTGTTAGTAGCAGAAAAGAAAACATTCTGATAATCACAATATTTAGAAAAATTTACTTTCAACATTTCATTGATTATAGCTCAAAGGGTAACTTTAAAAAAGTTTTTAATGTTTCAATTCCTGCTTTAAAAGCTCTAGGACCGTTTTCAACACAGCTTCCAAGCCAAGTTCTAAAAATACTTTAAAGAGACTGCAGTTATTTATTTCCACTTATGTGATTACCTCCAGAGTGCCCCGTTTTACTGGATTTAGCACCAGGAAACGTTTGAGAAGGTTTTCACAGTCTGTAGACATGTAGAAAGGGATTCTGTACTTCCCTCTTAATACTCGCTCTCTCAGTTCCTTTGGGAAGATAGGAAAGAAAACTAGTGAGTCAAGTTTGAGGTTAAAAAAGAACTCCCGACCCCATCCTAACAAAACATTAACTAGTAACAGCCATCATTTCATAAAATCCTTCCAGCTTTCTGAAAAACCTGGATGCAGCTGCTGCTTCTACCTTTAGGTTCTGTCCATCGAAGGGGAGCGACCCGCTGACCAGCGTGTACAGAATGACGCCGAGGCTCCACACGTCCACTTCCGGCCCGTCGTATTTCTTGCCCTGGAAGAGCTCTGGGGCTGCATATGGAGGGCTCCCACAAAACGTATCCAGTTTACTGCCAACAGTAAATTCATTGCTAAAACCAAAGTCAGCTATTTTAATGTTCATATCAGCATCTAACAATAGATTTTCAGCCTAGAGGGAAAACATCAAGACAAAAATGAAATTTAACCAACATATATTTAGCACTATGATAAAATTAGGCATTTCATAAAAGCCTTTTGTAACGATATAAAATTAATACATCTTAATGAATAAAATGAGAAAACATTCTTTCCACGAAAAAAGGGAAATCAGAATTTCTAATTTAACATTAACAACCAATAAGAGAACGAGGTATAAATTCATTCCAGCAATAATTTAAACAAATTCCCCATGATAAAAAAAAAGCACACAAACTTTTAATAAATAATCCTTTTCAATTAAGACTGATAGGAGACTTTAAAAAATGAATACTAGCTTTACATGGACAGCCACCTTTCATAAAACCACTAAATGCTTATATAATGGCAATTATTGGGGGAGGGAATTTGTAAACCTCACTCAAGAATCAGATCACAGTGATTATTTCAACAAACATTTACCAATTACACACCAGGCCTATGTCAGTGTCTGGATACATAACAATCAACAAGGGTCTTTGCCCTCGAGTAGCTCCTGATTTAGAAGGGGAGAAGCAGAAAAGTGCTCAGTGCTGACACAGGAGTGGGGCGACTGGAGCTGCCCTGGGGGGCAGGAGGGGTTCCCTGAAGGGATGCAGTCAAAGCTGCAGCTCGAAGGCTTAGTGGGTATGTTGCCGAGAGATGATTTTCAGGCAGAACAAAGAGCCTGAAAACCCAGAACGCTTGCTCTAGAAATAAAGAGTGTGTGGGGAGAGGCAGAGAGGACGGCTGGGGACTCGGGGTGGCTGAGTCACCAAGGGTCGCAAAGTGGCCAGCAGTCAGGAAGTTCGGGTTCCAACCCCACGCAACGGGAGGCACTGAAGAGGGGTCGAGCAGGGAAACAACAGCCTTACTTGTGTTTGCGGAGAGTATTCTGGCTGCCGTGGGGGACACAGGGAGGGAGAGGCCACACTGGAAGCAGGCAGACCAGGCAAGAAGCTGGTGTGGTGACCAAGTCCAAGACACTGGCGGTCTGAACCAGGACAGTGAGAACGGCACAGGAAAGAGCACGGTCAGGAGACATGTAGGGAACGGGAGCAAAGGACCTGGGACCAAGAGATGCCTGAGCAAAGGCAAGGGGCCCCTGGATGAGAAAGGAGTATTCCAGTTTCGGAAGGAAGACCTTTAGGGGGCGAGCTTGCTGAGCCCGAGGGCCCGAGGGCTGTGTCCTCTTGTGGCTGGTAGCGGAGAGGGGAGCTCTGGCGAGGGATGGAATGGGGTCTTCAACACACAAGCAACCACTGCAGCTACCAGAGGGGATGTGAATGCAGTGAGGGGGTGCAGAGAGGAACATGTGAGTCGGTGACAATTCTGTGAGGTGAGACGAAGTGAGGACCAAGTTAAGACAGAATATAGACAGTGCTTAGAGAACTATGGCTGTGAAGGAGAGAAGAGAAAAGGGAGGACCTAGAAGGGGAGTTGGGCGGAGAGTTTTTGGTAAAAGGCGGCACAGACTTGAGCAAGCTTTTGTAAATGCTGTGGGTGAGAAGGCAGCCGCACCTGGGGGAGACAGGACCCGAACACAGAGGCGGGGCCAGGCAAGGCGCCCCCCTGCCCTGAACCAAGAGGGCAGTTGTGAGAGGTGAGGGTGGGTGCGGGTGCAGCTAAGTGAGGGCCTGTTGGGAAAGGGAGGCAGTTTCTGCTGAATGTTTCTATCTCCCTGTGAAACGGGAAACCTGATCCTCTGCAGGAGCGAGGGCAGAGGGGAGGACGGTGACGGAGGCTCAAGCAACCGCTGCGGAAGGAGAGCAGCAGGCACGGCCAGGCGGCCCCGAGGCCGCTGTCTGTCCAGTGAGGCTGCATTGCTGGAGCCCCCGGCTGTTTGCTGGTGTGATGGTTTTTCTACACAAACCAACTACAAGCTACTTTAACTGCGATGTAAAATACTTCTAACAAACTCACTTTTCTTTCTTTTTAATGCTGTTTGCTGTAACTAGATTTAATTACTAGAAGATTTATTTTGTCACACGTAACAGCAGCCTAATGCATGCCTCCTCACTGCCGGGAGAAGCACATGCACTAACAGAGCGCCCTGGTGAGGGCTCCGGGGCTCACCTTGAGGTCTCTGTGAACGATCCGCTTTTGGTGGCAGTACTGGACCGCAGACACTATCTGGACAGGAGAGACGCAACGTTAATAGTCATCACTGGTGCAGATTTCGTAATGAAGATGAAAGTACGTCACAGATGCTCACACATGCTTGAGACTCAGTCCTTGGATGTCTGTAGGGATCTCTAAATATAATTTCCTCATGCTTTCAACTTGTTAGTTTGAAGAAGTTCAGGAGGGAGGCAAGAAGCGATGGGGGCGGATGTCCTTCCTGCTCTCTCTAGATTAACTGGAAATTCTGCCTCTACTGGGGCCCTCGACATGCCAGTACTTTTGAGTGTGGTTCCTGGGCCCAACAAACCACCAGGATCTGAGGGACCCTGGCTGCCCTCAGGCCCAGATGTCTCAGGTGCAACCTTACCACGCCCTGCAATCAACACCAAGCCAAACTAGCAGTTCTAGACCATCATGGCCAGGTCTCACCCAGGTTGGTTCTCCTGGTAATTACTTTCCTCCCAGCCAGTCTGCTCCCTACCACACTCTCTTCCTGTTATCTGATGTGGGTTCAATGACAGCAAAAGCTACTTCCCTTCTTAAAGGACCTGTTTCCTCTGCATTAAAGTAGAAGAGTGTAACGTATGTGAACTACGTACCATGAAAACCTTTGCTGTTGTCTCAACAGGACCCTCCTACTCTCAGCAGATGCTGTGCTTTCAGTCAGCTTTTCATTAGTCCTGTGGCTAACACTGAATCAATTGTTTTGCTACAATTTCACTTACTAGTAATTCTTTCAAGTCTCCTTTTCTAACTATAGAAGTCCATATGCTCATTACAGAAATCTCATGAAGTATAGAAAAGTTTACACAAATATGTAAAATAATACAATAATTAATAAATAATACAAGAATACACTGTTTCACGTACTCACAACCATAAACCTACTTTTGCCCTACCCTGTATATGCCTGTACTGCCACCAAAGAGAGAGAACATCTCCTGTTATTTTTGTCATGTATTTTGCTTATATAAACAAAACTGAGGCTATAATGAAAATACCACTTATTTCTCCCAATCATTATCAAATCTGAATGGTAAGCCACATGCACGCACCTACACTGGACATTAGAACTCAGAGGGCTGTTCTATCCGTTGGTATTTTGGCTCAACACGAGCAGCTGGAGAAGCGGGGCTGGGCTTCACAATATGCGCAGTGCAGTGCGGATTCAGAAGCTCAGGCCTGGTTCACACAGGCACCAGGCTCCAATGCCAACACGCGGCTTTCAGAGCACCTGACACTCAGAAACGCTGTTTCTACCATGTCAATAGGAAAACTGCAAAGTGAGAGCTTTGTTTTCCCAGAACATAACAGGCTGATTTCCTAGGACACAGGTAACTTTTATCTGATTTCTGCCTGATCCAATTTCCTTCTGATTCCTGCCCAATACTGACATTTCTCTCTTAGGTCTGCTTTTGAATCAGATTTCACAATGTCCTACACTTTCTCAAAGAGATTAAAGAATTTTCTTCTTTGACCTCCAAAGAGCTCAAAGCTAAAATAATGCCATAATAACCTGAAAACACTAAATGAATTCTTGGTTTTCTGCATTCTGCTTTTAAGCTAGAAGCAGGTGCTTCCAAAGGCTGAGAACCCAGATGTTCTCCAGGTTAGCATTGGAATGCAAGCCTAATTCATTTCCAACCACACAGGACAGAACCTCACTACCCACCAAGGTAGAGGTGAAGGGAGAAGATGGCACCAGGAATCCAGTCTCTTTCTTTGAAAAGAACAAGAGCTCAGCCAAAACATTAAAGCAGCGTAAGTGGGAACTCGGATGAGAGTGGTGAGGGAGTGGGAAAAGGCAAGGCCATTTGTTGATGAATACGGAAAGAAGGGCTTGTTCTTTACTTGGTGTGTGGCATACCCTCCACTTTGTCATGAACAGAAAACCGTTTTTCTAGTGAAGTGATGAGACTATAAATGTTTGGAAGGCGCGGCAATTAGAAATGGAGACGGGAGAAACACTGCTGTCATGCTGGGCCCTTCCAGGCTAGAATAAGTGCTCAAGGAACCAGGAGCAAGGAGTGCACCCACTGTCAGTGCTGGAATCAAGGCACTCACTGTCCAAGCACAGACACTACCTTTCCTGGACGTACAGAGCAAGAGCAGCGCGGGCTTTTTGGACACTTGAGACAATCCAACATGGAGTCGCTGTAGCCATGACAGCTTTATCAAGGGCCAAGTCAAGACTGAGGTAGTGGGATGTAACAGGAACACCCTGGGGAGGGGCTGGAACACCCACAAGCACAAGTCTGGACACGTCGATAAGGACCCCATCTGTAGCCGCTGGGGGCCATAAGAACTGAGAGCGTGGCTGTGCGAGTCAAGCTCGGAGCCCTGCCAGACGCCCGCTTCACCAGACATGCTGCCACCGCAGCTGCCTGGCTTGAGACCGACACCCACCCCTCCACCTGCAGGCGCCACCAGTGACTGGGACTTCCTGCCAGACGCTTGCTCTACTTGCTTGTATCTCATAAGCTCCTCCTCTCTGTGTGTAACCTGCGTGTGATTCTACTGGCTTATGGGGGAGGTCCCCCTAATAAACCTGGCACCGTGGAAAGACACAACCTACACGTGACTTGTTTTGGGGACACGCCCTTGCTCATGACACTAGATCAGTGGTCGGCAAACTGTGGCTCTTTGGCCCCTTGAGTGCGGCTCTTCCACAAAATACCAACTTCTGCGCATGGGCCACGAAGTTTCAATTGCACTGTACGGGCGCGCCCGCACATGGCATATTGTGGAAGAGCCACACTCAAGGGGCCAAAGAGCCGCATGCGGTTTGCTGATCACGGAACTAGACCAATTAAGGTTCCTCAAATAAAGGCTTCAGATTCCTGAAGAAAACTAAAAATCACAATCGGGGGAATGTCCAAGTCCCTCTGCCAGGCCAGGCCCCACCAGGGGAAGGGCAGAGATGGCAGAAGGAGTTAGGGGTAAAGTGCAAAAGGCCCCCGAGGGGCGGGTCCTGGCTCAGGGCTGCTGCTGCGAGCCTCTCCTCAGTTGGTAACCTACAGTCCATTAACGCCTGCAAGTCAGACACATTCCTCTGAATGGGAAGGAATGTAATTTAATGAGGCAAAAATAAAAAAATAAATGGTTTTTAGGTGGCCAATTTATAAAAATTAGTACAGCTATGGAAAGGGCCAGACTTGTTTTGTAATAAAGAGAAATTGGAGTTTCCTTCCATAGACAACAGAATAACAGAACTGAAAAGAACTTCAGAATTCAACAAGTATAACTTTCTCCCCCCCCCCGCCAAAGTTTTAATGTTATTTATTGATTTCAGAGAGAGGAAGTGAGAGGGAGAGATAGAAGCATCAATGATGACAGATAATCACTGATCGGCTGCCTCCTGCACGCCCCACACTGGGGATCAAGCCTGCAACCTGGGCACATGCCCAAACTGGAAACCAAACAGTGACTTCCTGGTTCATGGGTCGATGCTCAACCACTGAGCCACACTCGCCAGGCAATTTCCTCTTTTTATAAATAGAAAAACTGAGGCTCAGGGAAGTAAAATGATAGACAAAAATTAGTTTCAACTTTGATATTTAATAGGTTTCAATTCCAAGTACCATTAATATTTTTAAGCTTTTAAAATTAAACTTATAAATAAGCCCTTAACCATAAATAGTAGACTAAACACATTAAGAGAGGCAAATGTTAAAAGAAATCTTGAAAATCAGCTAAAACTGCCTTTCCAGATACTGTGAAAACTGTAAAGGCTCCTATCTATACTCTACCTTGACAAATCTTACCGGTATATGTGAATAAAACAAAAATTTCAAAGTTCTGAGAGAAATGAGGCTACCCTGCCATTTAAATAAAGAACTTGTAGCAGGGGGGAGAGTCCAGGTGAAAGTATGAAGTACCCGCTCCTTCCCTTCCCTTCTTTTGCATCAGGGTGGCCAGCCCCGCCACCACTTGTTTTGGTGAAGAGAGTTTTGCTGGAAACAATCGTGTGAGCCATCATTTACATATTGTCTGTAGCTGTGTCTGTACTACAACTTCCGAGTGAAACTGCTGCCACAGACTGTGCGGCCCCCAGAGCCTGAAATACTTACTATGTCACCCTCTACAGAACGAGCGTGCTGATTCCCAGTCTAATAACAGCACAACCTAATGAGTACAAATTTTGAGTTTTGATGTCACAGGACCAGACATCAAATTTTGGGCAAATTATTTAATCTGCCTGCGCTTCAGTTTCCTTATTTCTAGGAAATGAGCATGATATTCCTTAACTCACAAGGTGGCTGGATTTACGTTAATGTAGGTAAAGCACTTTTCCCAATGTCTGGCAGGTAGTGATCAATAAATAAATGGTAATTGTTATTGTTAAAAACTTGGAAATAGTTTTAATTAGTATAATCATAGATATTATGAAAGGCTCTGGTTTTTAAGGCTCAACTGTCAAAAACTAAGGTTAAGAGTGAGGCTAGCCCCGCCGGCATGGCTCAGTGGTTGAGCATCGGTCGACTTATGAACAAGGAGGTCACGGTTCAATTCTTGGTCAGGGCACAGGCCCTGGCTGTGGGGCATGCAAGAGGCAGCTGATTGATGATTTTCTCTCATCACTGATGTTTCTATCTCTCTCTATGGAAGACAGTATGGAGTTTCCTCAAAAAACTAAAAATGGAACTCCCATTTGCCCCTGTGATCCCACTTCTAGGAATATATCCCAAGAAACCAGAAACATCAATCAGAAAGGATATATGCGCCCATATGTTCATAGCAGCACAATTCACCATAGCTAAGATCTGGAAACAGCCTAAGTGCCCATCTGTAGATGAATGGATTAGAAAACTGTGGTACAGCTACACGATGGAATACTATGCTGCTGTAAAAAAGAAGGAACTCTTACCATTTGCAACAGCATGGATGGAACTGGAGAGCATTATGCTAAGTGAAATAAGCCAGTCAATGAAGGAAAAACACCACATGATCTCACTCACTCATGGATAATAAAGACCATTATAAACTTATGAACAAAAATAGATACAGAGGCAGAGCTGCCTCGAACAGACTGTCAAACTACAGCGGGAAAACCAGGGAGGGTTGAGGGGGGGAGGGGTAAGAGATCAACCGAAGGACTTGTATGCATGCATATAAACATAACATAAGACACTGGGAGGTAGGGGAGGCCAGGGGATTGTTAAGGGCGGGGAAAAAAAGGAGCCATATGTAATACTCTTTGTAATACTTTAAGCAATAAAACAATTTAAAAAATAAATAAATAAATAAATAAATAAAAATATGTTAAAAAACAAACAAAAAAACCTGAGGCTAAAATCCCATTAACAAAGCCAGAAACAGAAACCAAGGCTATCTCTAGAATAGTGCCTTAGGCACAAAAGGCACTTAATAAATTTTTGTTGAACTGAATGGCCAACCCCTGCTCCATCCAATGGGCCCTATAACCATTTATATGTGCAGACACCTGTTCGTGTCAGGGTTTGAGATTACTTTATCAAATTAATAAACTAAAGGTACGTTAATTCATACCTGTCTAAATTTAGCTCTTGCTTCTTTTTCCTTCATTCTTCCATGTGCAACCAAATAGTCAAACACTTCACCTATAATTGAGAGAAATAAAAGTAAAAAGAAGTCCTACTTCTGAGCATTAATTTTCCATAAATCGATAATGTTTCATTCTTAGCAATGCCTTAATTTTATTTTTAAATATAGGTATGAAGATAAACAGAAATATGTGGAATTTAAACTATGTCAGCCTTAAGTTCACCTATAGGTAAAGTTCATCTACAAAATCTTGAAGCTAGATAAAAGCCCTGAAATTAAATTATAAACTTTCATTTTAAATATTATTTTTAATATGCTTTAATAAAAACTTAAAAGTGAAAATGGGTGTTATTTTTGTTAAAAGAGGATGTCTTCACTATAGGACTATGACAAACTAGCACTTCATGAATATATTCATTCATTCAACAAATATTTATTGAGTGCCTACTAACTGCCAGGCACCGTCCCAGGCTCTGTCGAAACAGAGTGGTGAACAAAGCAAAGTCCCTTTCCTTGTGGAGTTTACATTCTAGTAGGGGAGACAGGTAGTAGACAGACAAGTGAATATACAGTATGTCAGATGATAAGAAGTACTGTGGAGAAAAAACGGACAAAGGAACAGGAAGTGTGCTTGTGTGTGCAAACATTTTGCTGACCAAGGGCAGCAGTGGATGGGCACAGGATGGGTCGGAGGGTGGGGTCCTGAAGAGGCTGGTGGGCTTTGGTAAGGATTCAGGCACAGCGCCAAGTGAGAGCAGAGGAGAATATAAAATGGCTGACCTCTTATAAGGATCACTCTGGCTGCTAGAGGGAGAAGCAGGTTAGGGGTGGGGAAGAGACAGGATGAGAGCGCTGGGCCTAGAGTGGGACAAGGCAGCGATGTGAGAAGGGAGGAAATCAGGACAAAGTGTGGGGGTAAAGCCAAGAGAACGCGCTGGTGGACATTTCTTGGGGAAGAGGGGTGACATTCAACGAATGTATCAGTACTGCCAACTGCTTATCAATTTGGAATAAAGAAACAACACCTCTGAAATCCACAGAAAGAGTCCTAATTTAACAAACATGGTATAAAATGTGTTCAGGAAAGAATCCTGTCTGCTTCATACAAAGAACACCACCACCAGCTTAGTGACAACATTTGACAAAAACATTTTGCCTGGCCGACGTGGCTCAGTGCTTGATTGTTGATCTACGAACCAGGAGGTCATGGTTTGATTCCTGGTCAGGGCACATGCCCAGGTTGTGGGTTCGATCTCCAGTGGGGAGCGTGCAGGAGGCAGCCGATGAATGATTCTCTCTCATCACTGATATTTCTCTCTCCCTCTCCCTCTCTGAAATCAATAAAAATATATTTTTAAAAACATTTTGATACTTAAAAACAGCTGGTTCTGAACATAAATATTTTTGAGGAAAAAGTCATTCTGAATTGCGATGACTATCTCTGCCTTTTTAAGCCTTTAGCCCTAATGGATACATTTTTAAACAAGGGAGAATATTTTTCATTTATCACTTGATTGCATAATGATCTTTTAAAAAGGTATTACATGTCAATTAACACCAAACAATTCATTTAACTGTGATGACTTCTGAAGTTAAATGTCAGCTCCTAAAATGTCAGCATTTTCTAAGGAGATGACCTTCCTTTTGCAAAAAGAACACAATGTCAAAACAAGTAGCTAAGCCCTAGCCGGTTTGGCTCAGTGGATAGCATGTTGGCCTGCGGACTGAAGGGTCCACGTTTGATTCTGGGACCCTGGTTGGGGTGTATGCAGAAGGCAACCAATCGATGTAATTCTCTCATACCGATATTTCTATCTTTCCCTCTCTCTTCCACTCTCTAAAAATCAATGGAAAAATACACTCCGGTGAGGAATAAAAAAACAAAACTAGTTAAAATGTGAAAACAACTAAGGATATATGCGTATCATATGGAAAACAGTTTTGACTTAAAAAACATTAATAAATTAGACCCACTAGTTATTGTAGGGGTCTCTCCCTTCCTCACACCTAACCTGCTACTCCTTCATTTCATATTCTCCTCTGCTCTCACAGATAAAGTCCAAGTCTGTCAAAGTAATTTTAAAACAATTTTATAAATTCAAATATAATAGAAACCTCTTAAGAGTTTTAGGAACCATAAAATCATACTCACAATTACTAAGTTATACATCAGGAATTCATCCCACATCTGTTTTTTCCTTATTAAAAGCTAGAGGCCTGGTGCACAAAATTTTTGTGGGGGAGTGGGGTGGGAGGTGTACCCCAGCCCGGCCTGCACCCTCTTGCAATTGGGGACCCCTCAGGGGATGTCTGACTGCTAGTTTAGGCCCGATCCCGCAGGGGATTCCCTGCGGGATCGGGCCTAAACCGGCAGACAGACATGCCTCTCGCAATCCAGGACCACTGGCTGCTAACTGGTCACCTGCCTGCCTGCCTGATCACCCCTACCCACTCTGCCTGCCTGCCTGATCGCCCCTAACTGCCTCTGCCTTGGCCACCCCTGCTGCCACGGCTTCGTCTGGAAAGATGTCCAGAAGGTCGTTCGGCTGGCGGGTCTAATTAGTATATTATACTTTCATTATTATAGATGTATTAGCACTCAGATTAAGCTGCTAAACAGAAAACCTCTAAAGCAGTGGTTCTCAACCTTCCTAATGCTGCGACCCTTTAATACAGTTCCTCATGTTGTGGTGACCCCCAATTTCATTGTTACAAATTGAACATAATTAAAGCATAGTGACTAATCAAAAAACAACATGTAATTACATATGTGTTTTCCGATGGTCTTAAGCAACCCCTGTGAAAGGGTCGTTCGACCCCCAAAGGGGTCGCGACCCACAGATTGAGAACTGCTGATCTAAAGGCTATCTATCTCTTAGAGAAAGAATAGCAAACAGCGGCTCTCTCCACCCAGGTCAGGGGCCCTGTGGCTGATGGAAGGACACTGGACAGGACAGTTGAGAAAGCTCTTGGATGAAGGCTCGGGTCCTGCCCCTAGTGATGGAACTGCTGGCACAGAACACCTTTCCAGGCTTTAGTCTCATCTGTGATATGAGGTAGGTGTCCTGGATGATTTCTAAGATTTCTTCCCACTCTATATTCGCTGATTCTGCTAAACAGAGAAACACCAGACTGGGGAGAGACAGGTAGTAAATCTAATGAAACTTTTATTGTTCAAAATGGCAAACATGAACAATCACACAGATGTCCTGAAAGCTGACAGTGCATTATGAGATGATTAAACAAATGGCCAAAGCCAATACACCGCCTCCACTGATTAACGCTTTTTAATGCTCCTCAGAGGAGGGCCATGTTAGCAAGTCAGAGAAACTCAGAGACATGTGACCTATCAGGCCACTCTGCCATGAGGGGAACTGGATGGACTGACCCCACCTCTTTCCCAAAGCACATCCTCTTTCCACTAAAACTGGGTGCTTCTTAGATGTTTATGTTTTTTTTTCTTTAATATCCTTTATTGATTTTAGAGAGAGGAAAGAAGAGGAAGAGAGAGATAGAAATATTGATGAGAGAGAAACATTGATCGGCTTCCTCCACACACCTGGGCATATACCCTGACTAGGAATCAAACCAGTGACCTTTTGGTTCATGGGTTGACACTCAGCCATGGAGGCATGCTGGCGGGGCCAGATGTTTCTGTTTTGTTCATATTTAAGAACAATCTCTACAACACTGTACCTAAAATTGATGGGAACAGAAAGCCATGACCAACTATATAGTGTCAGAAGGCTGAGGCTCCAGGCCTGGCCAAGTGACCACAGTGAGACTTCCCAGCCTCCTTGCCTCAAGGACAAAAGGCCATCCCTCACTGCCCGGCCACATCATGGAGTCATTGTGAAGCTCAAGGACAGATGAGGTAAGAGAAGGCACTTGTGTACTGTAAAGGCTACACAAATGAAAAGGTTATTAATATTTACTCTGTAAGATGAGTAGAAAGTATTAGAACTCCATAGAGATTTTCAGTTCTTCAATAATCCTTCAGCTCTTCCTATTACTAATCAATTGTGAAAATACCAACTAAATTCTTCAACCACACATTTAAAACAGAAGTCCTATAACTAATAACAAATTAGGAGTACGAAAAAGGGATGTCAGGGGTGTGCCTACTACTTGCTCACAACAGGCTTCCCATCTTTTATTCAATGGTTAACTCACTACAATGAGGCTACAATTTAACTTTTTGTCTTCAGATTTTATAATCTGAATAAAAGTGCTAATGAAAAAATAAAACCCTAACCAAAACAACTTAAGCTATACTGTAGAGTCAAAGAGAGTATGTCCCCAGTAGTTTATAATTTTATAAAGTTAATTAAATTCTTATTTGTTGAGAAAATGCTATGTGTCAGACACCGTGCTAGAAGTAGGAAACACCCAAAGATAAGCAGGACAGCTTCTGACCTCCACAAACTCACACAGGGTCCAACAACTACAAGCCTACCATAAAATGAGAATCTCTGTGAAAGACAACAGCTATAAATACGACTGTATATATTCATTTCAGAAAAATGTCTACCTTTATATAAACGTGCAGGCAAATAATTACGAGTCCTTAATATTTAAGGAGACTCTAATCACATGCACTATAACCACCACTTCTGGTCGTGGGAAAGATGGACAACAAGGACATGGAAATCTGATGAGGAAAAGCAGGTCTATTTCAAACAGGCTAATATCCAGGGTTATATATAAAAATCCAAGTACATGAAAGAAATAAAATGTGGTGTAGACACACATACACACACACAGGAATATTATTCAGTCTTAAAAAGGAAGGAAATCCTGTCATATGCTACAACATAGATGAGCCTTAAGGATATTATGCTAAGTGACAGAGGCAGTCAAAAGGACAAAAACAATGACTCCACTCATGTAAGGTCCCTAGAGCAGTCAAAGTCATAAAGACAGAGAGCAGCATCCGGCTGCCAGGGACTGGGGGTGGAGGGAGCAGGGAGCCAGTGTTTAATGGGACAGAGCTATAGTTTTGCAACATGAAAAAAGCTGTGTGGATAGAGGGTGGTGATGGTTACACAACAATGTGTATTACTTAATGCCACTGAACTATACACTTTAAGTGGTTAAAATGGTAACTTTTATGTTGTGTAATTTTACCACAATAAAAAAATCCAAGTATTGGATATCGTCAATGTAAAATGCTAATAGTGAAACAATCACAACCCACAGAACTGCTAACAGCTGGCTTTTTTGATTTTCATCCGAGTGTATTATGACTGTGTATATTAAAGAAACCTTAATAATTATCAATATGGGAATGTACTCTTCCAAAAGGAAAGAAAGAAAAACACACGTAAGTTTCTTACCTCCACTTGCATACTCCATGATTAGGTAGAGTGTTTTGTCCGTTTCGATGACTTCAAATAACTTCACTGGGGGAGGGGAGAGGATACAGAAGAAACAAATGTTTGTGTGCATATACTAGGTACATATAAACTGTAACTACAAAAAGTAACTATTTTCTATTAAAGATTTTAATAGATGGCCCTCTAAAAACTGCTTTTAGGACATTTATTATATATTACAACAACAGAAAATATTTTGTAAGACCTCGGAATTCCATAAAAATAACAGTTCTTTCTGGGTGCTGCGAGGGTGTTCCTGGCGTGCACGCACAGCTGGGGGAGTGTGTCTGCCCATCCTCTCCCGTTGCTGGCAGTGTGTCAGTCCCAGTAGCTTTCTGCCCAGCAGCTCTTCCCTTGCGCCTCAGGAAAAGCCAACTTATTTCACATTCAAACGGCAGGGACTGCTCCCACCAACTCTACTTCTGCAAGTGCATATCCATTTACTTTTCGTTCTGGCCTCAAGGATATATTTAATTCCATCTGAGCCTTGTATTGCTTGGGAAACATACAATTCTCCAAAAACAAGGTTCCTTTGTTACTATTCTGAAGCCAGAGATGGAAGGAAGTAGAAGGGATTATACTATAATGAACTGAAAAGAACTTTTAAAAGAATTCTTTTCAATGGGTCAGAGTAACATTATTATATCAGATCCTGTGACAGAGAGAAATAACCTTTCGATTACTGCTAATTCATAAAACCATAAAAAAATCAAAATACACATATTTTTAAATAAAACTGAATTTCTAAAGCTATCAAATCACTATTTTGCATTATCTACTTTATTTTGGTAATACATATTTTAAAATTAAATTTACTGAAGGGTTGGGGGAATGCTAGTCTTTTATATTTTGGGGTATTTTCTGATGTTTTAACATAAGAGTAATAGGCCAAATAAAATGCCTAACATAGTATTTAATATATGTTTGTTGAACTAATGAATAAAACTATCATATTTCTAAGATGATATATTTGGGTTATCAAGAAAAATCATTGAGATAAATTTAAGACATATATGCTGGAACACCATCAACATATAAACAAAACCTTTCTCAAATTCCAATGTAAATATTAGCTCTCCTGGGAAAACGACTTTAATCCAATAGTAATTTAAATTTTTAGACATTTAAATCTATTATCAAAGATAATAGAACAAAGATAGGTCAGTTAGTAATAAGTAGAGAGAACTCTAATCAGGGTACAATTTAATTAATTAAAAAATAAAATAAATATGCTTAAGTTAGCTAGTTCAAGGCAGTAGTAATAAAAAGTGTTTTGGATGAAAAGTTGGATTTTAAAATTCAGAGTTGCTGAGAACCTAAAGGGTTGAAACAAAAAGTGAAGGCTTTCTTTTTATAATATTCCTTGTTATTTTTCTTTTCTCCAAACATATATTTTACTGATTTTAAGATGTACAGTTTTTCACTTTTTAACTAATATCGCTGATAATGGGATGATGGCTTGGTAGCATTGTTTTTATTTTAGTTCATAAAACAATAAAGCCTTTTAAATAATGGTGGCTCAGATTGGGTGAAATAGAGCATAGTCTTCTCTTCCTGTGCCACAAGAATTCTTAATAGGCTATCCTTAACATCAAATGTCACCTCTCCCACTTCCGAGAAGTGATTCTGATAGTAAACTGATACAACTGGCTGTCTTAAGAGTTATTTCACTTTTGTGTATATATTTCACTATTCTTCTAATCAATATTTATTAAGTGTTCACTATGTACATGATAAAAGAGTTATTTTACTCGAAGTAGTATTTTTAGACTGCAGGAGCTATCACTGTGTAAAGAAGCACTTATATTATTTTTAAAAAGTTCTATTATGATATGTGGGATCAAAAATTTTCATTGAGATATCTGTACAACAGGTCAGGATTCGGCAGTTTCATACTTTCATCGTGGTCCTGCAATGATGAGGGCAGGACCAGGGCCCTTCCTCATCTCTGAGCCCACCTCATCACCCGGCAGAGCTGTGCAGAGGACACTCAAAACACATCTGTGCCATATAGAGCAATTTATATCAAAATCCCAGTGGATAACTATCCTATGTCTTTTTAAATGGTTCAATGTACAAGTATTTTCTTAGAAAAAAGCTACAGCAAAAGGCCTATCTTTGAAAATCTTAACTCTGACTTAACAGAATTCCCTTCTCTCTAGCTATGAATTAAATATAACTATATTTTCCAATAATTAAAAATAGATTATAATCTAATTATAGATGTTTCTACTGCATTAAAACTTTAACATGTTCAGTATCTAAGCTTTTAACCCATCTTTAGTAAATTGCAGAAAGTTAATACAAATGATAAACAATTTGGAGGTATATTTTATTAAAAGTGTGCCTGGGCTGGGAAGAGGGAAGACATCTCTCTCCTGGAACACATGATTAACTTTATGAGATACTTTCAAGAATGTATTTAGACCCAAAAATACGTAAGAAAGCAGAAAGTACCTATGTTTGGATGATTTAAAATCTTCATTATTCTTACTTCTCTGAAGAGCTAAAAAACAAACACACAATCCCCCCAGAACAGGTTATTACACATTATCTTCCACTGTTGCAATAGAAATTTACATTTTTACCTAGAGGCCTGATTCATTGGTAACGTTCAGTAGTTCACATCTAAGACTAACATGATAGCACAGTGTAACCAGGAAGCAGCTTTAACCCAACACCACAGCTCAACTCTCTCTTGTGAAAAAGCAGAGGTGCTAGGGACCCCACAAGCTGGATGCTACTTTGCTGTCGTGAACACAGATGACTGGATTCAGGCAAGAATAGTTTGTGACTAGGTTTAGTCTGACTCAGTGTCGCCCCAGGGGTTCTAATTCTGTAAATCTAAACGCAGAGTCCCAGTGAGCTACATCCTGAGTGCACTGGACTTATAATGCCAAGTAATCCTATGAGAGATTTTCAAGGAGACCATGGCAGGAGTCCTCACAGGGGTAGGTCACTTAGCACAGAAGCTGTGAGGGGCTTAGGCCTCGCAGGCTCCCTTCGTACTCGCCATGTGGCTTGCCCTGGTTGATGGGACACTATCGAACTTGAAGCAAGCAAGGGCAGGACAAAAGGTTTGCGCAGCGGGGCTTACTTTCTTGGAACGATGTCCTAACACGAAGACAGTTTAGCCTCTTTGAGGATGAAACACTGCACGTAAAGGGACCATGGTTCCACCTAGGGCAGCCCATCAACTCGCCCCCTGAACGCTGCCACACAAGCGGACCCAGGGGAGACAGAATGCACTGCCTCGTCAGGAGCCGCAGAGCTCCCAGGCACCACATGGAGTGAGGAGAACAGTCAACTGCTGCTGTCTGAACAGGTGCTGTGAATTCAGAGGAGGCACAGCATGATGGCCGGGCTAATACAGGGTGACCTCAGAAAATAACAGGAACTGAGAGGCCAGCCCACCCAACCCCCTGGCAAACAAGTGGGGACAGAAAAAGAGGAAAAGACCGTCCAAAGTCCGTGGGCAGTCTGGCCAGACCAGGTCTCTCAGCGCAGTGTCCTGCCACCTGCAGGAGACAGGGCTGGGGGAGCTCTGGAAGGTGAGGAGGGGCTGGCTACATGCAAAAGGAAGTTGCGAGAAACCACAAGGCTCTGGCTGTGCTGGTCCTCGCCCACCATATCTAATCCAGAGGTGGCCTAGCAGCTAACAACCGAGAGCACGGAGACACGGATGTATCTGACCTACAACTGAGCTCAGAGCTTAAAAACACGGAACCAGATGCACAGACTTCCTGTCTGGAAAACTGACTCATCTCCAAAAGCAGGGGCGTGTTTATCACCAACATAAACACCTCTGGTGGCTGCTGTGGCCGTTCTCAGATTTGATGTTCCAGATGAGAAGATTGCCACCCTGACAGCCAACCATCAGGCCTGAGTTCTTTCTTAGCTTCCCTCGGCTACACTGACACAGAAACCCCGTTTCCCATCTGTAGGAGCTGAATGAGTAGCTGTAGTTTGAATCTCCCAGTTACTGCCACAACAGCGAAGTCAGAAGAGCTCTAGGTCGGCTGCCACACCCCACGGCGGCCTCTGGTCATCCCTCCAACCTCCACTCGGTCCCTGCTCCGCAACCTCAATTCCTGTCCGGTCCCAGAACACACCCAGCTCTTCCTTTCCTCGAAGTCTTGTCTCCTTTTCATCCTTCCGGTCTCAGGGAGATTCTCTGAAAGCCTCATCCCAGTCTGTCTCCCTTGTTTCACAGCATTCTTTTCTAGAGCGTTTTTTAGGTTGGGATGGTACATTTTGGTGGACCTATTTATTGCCACCTCACCATCGACAGGGAGCACAGCTGTCTCCTTTTACTCCCCCGCAGCTGAAACAGCTGGCACACACAAGAACCCATCTGCTTGAGAAATGTCTGCGGGAAAGTACTAACGCTCGGGAAGTAAGGCGGGAGCCAGCCTCCTTGGCAGTCCGTGACCACACCGCTTGCTGCAGAGCTGTGAGGGGTCTGCTGGCCAGAGAGCAGGCTGAAAGAAGGCAATTGTTTTTTGAAATTTCTACTAGTAGTACAGCACTGAAACAAAATAATTAGAACCAAAGGGCAGAAAAAAGATGGACTATTCTAGGAGTTCAAGGGGGAGAAAGCACGTGTGTTAGATGGCACCATGGAGGAAACGGAACTATACAGGGCCTAAAAAAGGTGCCCCAGTAGAAAACGGGCTCTGTGTGCTCCATGGGTCTGAGTGGAGACACGGAGGTGTGACCAATGAGAACCAAGTGACGTATCTGGCATAGAGTGTGCTTCCAAGTGTGGACACCAGGCCCCTGATCAATCATGAGGGTGCTGGTACCAACTGCAGGTTTCTGGGCCCCACCAGTCACCAGATCTGAACTGGTCCTTGAGAATCTTGCTTTTCAGCAAGCACCCCAGGTCTGGTAGTTTTTTTGTTCTTTTTAAAATATATATTTTTAAATTAATTTCAGAGGGGGAGGAGGGAGGGAGGGAAGGAGAAGGAGGGAGGGAAGAAGAGGAAAGGAGGGAGGGAGGGAGAGAAACATCAATAATGAGAGAGAATCATTTATCTACTGCCTACTGCACACCCCCACTGGAGATCGAGCCCACAACCTGGGCATGCGACCTGACCAGGAACTGAACCTTGACCTCCTGGTTAGGTCAATACTCAACCACTGAGCCACACCGTTGGGCAGGTGTGGTAGTTTTTAAGTAGGTCCACAAATTCCTTGACAATCTTCCCCTCGGAAGGAAGAACTTAGTATCTCCCCCTTTGAGTATAGGGGGCACTTAGTGATTTGCTTCGAAGGAACAGAGTAAGGCAGAAGCAATGGTGGGGGCTTAAGAGACTGACCGGGCCAATAAAAGGCACTGTGGCTCGGTGAGGACAGGAGTTCCCAGATGGACAGGCCCGGGTAGCAGGGAGACCTCACGCCCACAGCTGGGAAAGTGCAGTCTCCTGAGGGCAGCCAAGCGAGGCCTTTGGAAGCGATCACCAGCCCTGCACAAATCTGCGGAGGCCTGCACCGTGGCTCTAACCGAAGAGCACCCGAGTCAGACCCGCACAGCTGTCACTCCCTAACACATGACTCAGAAACTGCGCGGTAACAACGTTGCGTTTCAGTTGCTAAGCTTTGGAGTAATCTGCTAGAGAGCAGTAGATGACTGCTACATTACAGACAGCACATGAGGGTTCCTGAGTTACAGCAGGCGTCACACAGAGACGAGCTGTGAAAACAGAGGAGAGATGTACAAGCTTAACTGTGCAGGCAGAAAGAGCCGCCCAAGGTTCCCTAACAGGCAGTTTCTATCAGAATCATGCTAACCTCTAGCAGGTAGAAATGAGTTAATACACTTACACCAAGTCAAGCACGAGGATAACAGTTATCAAGTGCCGTGTCTGAAGCAGAGCCAGAAGCTTCACATCCGTGATCACATCTAACAGAATCGCCGGAGGGGAAAGCAAGATGGCGGCATAGGTAAACACCAGAGATTGCTGCCTCGCACAACCACTTCAAAAATACAACTAAAAGACGGAACGGACATCATCCAGAACCACAGGAAGGCTGACTGAGTGGAAATTCTACAACTAGAAGGAAAGAGAAAAGCATACAGAGACTCAGAGGCGGCGCAGTGCGGAAGTGAAATACGGGCTGGCGGCCGAGGGCGCGGTTGTCTGTTTCAATTGGGAAGGAGTCTCAGGCTGTGAGCTCCAGTTCTGGGCGAGTCTCTAGGGACCCAGACTCAAACGGGAGAAGCGGGACTGTTTGGCATCGGTCGGAACTCGAGGGCAGCTTTCTCTCTGAGGTTTGCAGCAGTTGCTGGGACACTGAGAGGCAGAGCCTCTGGGGACGGGACTGAGAGCAGCCATAACTGCTCGCTCCACCCGCCCTATTGATCCCCTGAGACCCGCCCAGCCCAAGCCCTGCACAGAGGTATTTGCGGGATAGCCTCAGGCAGAGGCTAGAATAGCACCACCCTAGAGATCCAGGACAGGAGTTCTCCCACTGCAGACACAGCTGATTCTCACAGCCAGTTGCCCTGGAGGTCAAATCCCTCCCAGTGTTACCTACAACAATCAAGGCTTAGCTACAACAAGACTGCGCACAAAGACCACAAGGGGGTGCACCAAGAGTGTCTACCTCAGGTAATTGGGACACTTAGCACAGAAAGCCACTCTATCGACACAGCGAAGCATAAAAAATGCCGAGACAAAGAAACAGGACACCAATGACAGAACTGGAGGAAAGCAGGCTGCTGGATATAGAATTCAAAAACACACTTTTGAGGTCTTTCAAGAGTCTTCTAGAGACCGCCGATAAACTTAATGAGATGTACAAGAAATCTAATGAGACTCTCGATGTTGTGATAAAGGACCAACTAGAAATTAAGCATACACTAACTGAAATAAAGAATATTATACAGACTACCAACAGCAGACCAGAGGAGCGCAAGAATCAAGTCAAAGATTTGAAATACGAAGAAGCTAAAAACACCCAACCGGAAAAGCAAAATGAAAAAAGAATCCGAAAATACGAAGGTAGTGTAAGGAGCCTCTGGGACAGCTTCAAGCGTACCAACATCCCAATTATAGGGGTGCCAGAATATGAGAGAGAGCAAGATATTGAAAACCTATTTGAAGAAATAATGACAGAAAACTTCCCTTACCTGGTGAAAGAAATAGACTTACAAGTCCAGGAAGCGCAGAGAACCCCAAACAAAAGGAATCCAAAGAGGACCACACCAAGACACATCATAATTAAAATGCCAAGAGCAAAAGACAAAGAGAGAATCTTAAAAGCAGCAAGAGAAAGAAAATCAGTTACCTACAAGGGAGTACCCATACGACTGTCAACTGATTTCTCAACAGAAACTTTGCAAGCCAGAAAGGAGTGGCAAGAAATATTCAACGTGATGAATGCCAAGAACCTACAACCAAGATTACTTTATCCAGCAAAGCTATCATTCAGAATTGAAGGTCAGATAAAGAGCTTCACAGATAAGAAAAAGCTAAAGGAGTTCATCACCACCAAGCCAGT